CCCAAACTGAATTATGCCATCATTTTCTCACCATCATATTGCTGCTGAAGGACAAGAGGGTCTCAAAATGTGATGTCCACAGGAGAAAGAGCGACAGGGAGAAGAAAAAGAGCTGATTCTCTGCGTCTCCTCTCTAGAGTCTAAACCCAACTTTTTTTTTCTTTTTCTTTTTTTCTTCACCCCTCCTTTCCTTCTCCTCACTGCACTAGGAAAAGGCAGCGCATCACTGCCAAAGAAAAGAGTGCATTCAAAAACAGAAAACTTGTTTCGCCTCTGCCCAAAGTTTATCACCATCGGTCAACTCTCGCTCCTACATCTGTGCATCCGCAAGTACCCTCCTTTCTCTGCATTTCAGGCTCCATGCAGTCACAGTCTGATCTCTCTCAGGGAACCAAAAGTGCATGATAGTCGTCAAGAGGAAAGAAGAACATAAAATGGGAGGCAAAGGTCTCTCTCTCTCTCTCTCTCTCTCTCTCTCTCTCTCTCTCTCTCTCTCTCTCTCTCTCTCTCTCCAATAGTTTACCACCGCTATCAAGCTGGTGTGACTTTACATCATAGAATGATACAGAGAATATTTGCATGGCCCCTAACACATAAATCAAGGAGGAACAATTTCACGGCCCCTGATACAGAGAATATTGGTGCACCAACTAAGGTTAGGCCGTTCCTGAGGCATTTTTTATTTTTTTTCCCGGAAAAGGGCGATGCACTTGAGATACCACCATTGAAATGACCGGCCCCAGGAATCAGAATTACTTCTTTGTGTTCATCGAAAATCGAGCTGGGGTCTGCATTTCTACAGTTCCTGGGCGTACCAACTGAGCCAGGCTCGTTGGTGGCATCGGAGCGTTTCAGCGCACACATGCCCCCCTTTTTCTTTTTCTCGCGCTCTTCATCTTTTCCAGCTTTTGGTCCTGAGATAGCAGCATCGACTGACCAGTCATGTTGTTGGATTTAAACCCAGGTCAGTGTACGAACAGTTCACGGGTGTACCAGCTGAGCTACCCTGTTCTTTGTTTGTACTATTTGTAGACATTTTTTCTTTGTCGGTCACATTTGTGCACGATATGCACCGAGAGCAGTGTCCGAAGTGGGCATCTGCTGCACGCCTGCGGCAACTGGCTGTGGCAGCAAGACCGTCAAGTGCAGAGGCCATTGTTGGTACCTCGCAAGTGACACAATTCTTTTGTAGTCCTCCCCCCCGCCCCTTTATTTTGCAAAAAGCTTTTTTTTTTTTTTTTTGGCTAAAATCTTAACAGAACAAACACAGCCTCTTTTTTCCACATACACAACCTGATACTTACGCCAGCCACGTTTTCTCTTGTGCCTATTTTCCCCTTCGGTTCTTTTCAAACAGCAACTGCCTTTTAAACCACCAGTACTTCCTACAGTCGCGCCCATTAACAAGCCATGATTTTGGAAAACGTACGAGCCACTACAGAAGCGCCCAAATCCATCCGACTATAAATGTTTCTACTCCATTTTTTTACCACGGCCAATAGCTGGTCCAAGTACTGGTGATTTGAAGTGTCCAGTGGACTTCTGGCAAGTTTGGAGAGACAAGATGGGGAGATAAGAGTAGCAGATTGTACATAAAATGGGAAGCATTCAAACGCGGCCTTCTTGGAATCCCTGTGGCTGCATGACTGGGTGCTGCCAGTACGCTTACCAACCTTCAGGGGAAACCCTGAAGACAAGCAATGGGTTGGGGAGCGGGGTGCTTTGTACTAGTGGCCGCAAGGGCAAATCCAACCCTAAGTCTTTCCCTTTCTCCCCCTGCTTCCTTTTCCCCTTGAACCCCATCTATGTTGGAAAGAAGCTTGCCGCGAAGTTGCCGGTGATAAGCAACCAGACTGACGCCCCCCATAATAGAAGGGGGCGTGTTGCATTTGAAAAGAAGAAGAAGAAGAAGAAGAAGAAGAAGAAGAAGCGATTGGAGCGGCTTAAGATCCACCTCCTTCGATAGCGAAAGCAAACCTCCGACATCCAGATCACCTGGAAGCAAGGAGAACAGTAAAACATTACGCAGTGCTTACCAGAGCGCCGACAGTTCGTTCGAAAAAGACCTTTAGGGTGCTCCCCGGAGCCCGAATCTAGATCCAAAGGCCCAAAGCCCACGATAAGCAAGAAATCGGCACGCAGCATACCCCCTCGGTCTGCTTAGCTTTAGAGCATTGTTTCAAATTTCAATACTGAGGAACACAAAAAGAAACGCCTCGGAAAGTTTGAAACCAAAAATGTCAGTCTTTCCACATTTTACTGCCTTAGCAACACACAAAAAAATTGCCACCAGTTACAACTTACGAGCAGCAGCAGAAAATGTCGGAAATTCATCTCTGAAACTCGTGTCTGGAGGCTTCCCAATCCATCAATTTGTAATTTTGTATATGCATTGTTATTTTGCAAGTCGAATACCCTTATCAAATAGTGACTGGATATGTGCAGTTGTCCTGAGCGCGAGCACTGGCAATGAAAAATGACAAGATGTCCTTCGGAACATCCATTAAAATTGGAATGATACAGAGAAGATTAGCATTGCCTGCGCAAGGATGACACACATAAATCGAGATATGGTCCAACAAAAAAAAACAAAAAGAACAAAAAAAAAAGACAAGATCTAATGGAGAATTAGTACGAGTCTACTACTAATCCGTTAAAATTGGAACGATACAGAGAAAGTTAGCATGGCCCCGGCGCAAGAATGACACACCACAGATCAAGAAAAACGGTCCGAATTATTAAAAAATACTAATAATAATAACTCACGGACAGCCAACAGTTGTAGGGATGTACCCACGGGCCTAGCTCGGTTGGTACAGCCCTCCATGAACTATTGAAAGACAGACCTGAGTTTGAATCCCAATGGAGAATTTGCCTGAGGCCCTGGGGCAGGTCAGGTTGAAGATCGTATTTCAAGGTCAACATCCTTCGAAAAAAAAAGGAAAAAAAAAAGAAAGAAAGGAAGAAAGGAAGAGAGAAAGACAACACTGAGAAAAAAGCGGAGATGATGCATATCCCTAAGCTGTTCTAAAAGCATCAAACCTCCATAAGTCCTCCATTTTTTTTTATTTTTTTTTCTAAGTAGCTAATCCTGGTGTCCCCAGAACCAGGATGGTGGAAGCTTTTTTTTTTTTTTTTTTT